CACTGGAATATTACGAGAAATCACATAAAATCTATGAAAAAGCTCTGCCTCCGCCACATCCGGATTTGGCTACTTCGTACAACAACATCGGCCAATTATATGGAAAAACGGAAGAGTACTCGAAAGCACTTCCACTTCTAGAAAAAGCACTTGGTATCTGGCGAAAGTCACTTCCGCCAACACATCCGAATATTAAAATCGTGATGAATGCTATTGATCGTGTGAAAGAGAAGTTGTGAATGTTTATTTTCTCTAGTATTTAATCAAATAAATTGCTTTGATAACTATTGATTATTTACTATTCGCGCGTATGCGTACGCGACCAGAAAGACCTGCCGTGCGTCCAGATACCGATACGCATAGAGCGGAACACGCCGGAGTGGTAGGACAATGCACGTAGGTAACCCGTACGTACGACGTCTGGGACCACACCCACATCATGCACACCCTTCCATGTACTACACTACTTAGCCGCAACAGAGCAATACGAAGAGTCTATCTGTGTCAGGCAACGAAGCCGCTGTGACAGGCTGTCATATAACAGAGGATTAGGAAAAAGTATAGTAATACGAACCTCTGGTCTGATGATATATCATGGAGATGTCCGTTGTTGTTAAAGACGATCAATATAAATTTATCTGAACGGAAGAAAAGTAAATTATTAAATAAGTATTATTCTGAAATGTGTTTAATATCTAAAATGAAATAGAAAAACAGTAATTAACATTTTTATTGTCCATATTGGATAAAAGAAGAAGAAATAGCTATTATTATTGTTGTACTTGATTAATATGAACAAAAATTAGAAACAAAACAAAAGAAAAATAAAAACAGAAAGAATATATAGTTTATTTATTTTAAATTAAAGAAAAATAATAATAGAAAATTGTACATCTGAAACGAAAAAAAAGATCGAATGATTATGCACAGAAGCATCGTATACCCCCTTGATATATAATTATAAGTGTCATAACGATCCCAAGATTCATAATAGAAGATCTAGAACGAGAAAAAAGAAACAGATACAAGTAAATTAAATGAATATAGAGTTTATTTAAGTTACATAAAAGGAAAACAAAAACCATTGGCATCTGTATAAAAAACTGCAAATTGCACCACTGAAATGAGAAAGAAAAGTATATTGAATATTTAATGATAGTTATTGCAGATTGCTTCTTCTTGATAGATCCGGGAATACAGTCTAAAAAAAAGAGAAGAGATTTATGTTAGATACCCAGAATATAGAAAATTGAAAAATTGTAAGTTGCACCTCTGAAACAAAAAGAAAAATATGTTGTTTATTTGAAAAATTACTTGTATACTTTAATTCGTAACCATTTGTCAACCATTTCAAGAATCATAATAAAAGATCTAGAATAAAAAGAGGAAAGAAATAAATCGATAAAAAAATTTGATGTAATAATAAATTTGGAATATATTGACTATTTCGGTATTAATAATAATATTATTGCTGTTGATCGATGTGAACGCATTCTAAAGCAAAAGAAAAAAAGAGAACAATTCACTACCTCGTTTCTTTATGTTACATGAGAGAAACCAAAAAAACATTGCCATCTGTAGAATTCCAAATTGCACCA